GGTTTGTTCTTTTCCTATGAGAGTAGTTACTTGGTATTGTTCTTTTCTTATTTTTAATTACTTTAAAATTACAAAAGCAAAAAAAAAAAAAAATAGATTGTTCCTACTTCACATAACCCCTTATTACAAATCAGTTTCACAAAATTTTATGAAACTAATTATCTTACTTAATCAAGATTTTATTCGTTGTTCATTAAAACTGGATGATTGCAGGGTTGCATTACTAGTGATATGAAGAAACCAAATGTCGCTAGTTTGGAATATACATATGGAACTCTGAAAACTTTTTAGTAATGTCTTGACTCATCAGTTCTATGCAACCTTACATTGTCGGAACATATACGTTACTCAATACTACATCAAAAATATAAAATACAGCATCTATTACATACTCACAAATTGGTATTGATGCCGAAATCTACAGACTCCAAAATAAGTTCATGACACAAAGTAAGGAAATATGGTTATTTCTCAATATTTTTCTGAGCTAAGTGAATTATATCAGGAGTTAAATTACTATCAAGATTTCCAAACAAATTGCATTAAAAATGCAATCAAATTTCAAAAACTAATAGAGAATGAGTGGACTTATGATTTCTTGATTGGTCTTAACACAAATATGATCACATATGGGTTCAAGTGTTTGATAAGGATCTTCTCCCCTCATTACAACAAACATATGCTCATATCTAATAAAAAGAAAGTAGACGAAATTTTATACTTCACATAAAATCAATTAAGAAGGCTGAGTTAGCTGCTCAATTGCTTAGTCTGACCAATCCAAAGACCAACAAAATTGTTACTATTGTGACAAATTGAAACACACTAAGAAAACTTGCTTAAAATTGCATGGACGACCAACTAGAGGTTGTGGGGAAAGAAAATGCAGACCTATAAGAATTCAAGCAAATTTAGTTGAGACAAGTGAAACACCTAACACACCAACAGTTGGATCTTTTTAAATAAGAAGATTCAAAACTTTAAGCATATTCTATCCCAACTTAACTTCTCATCAACTATTGGTCAATCAAATTTGGAAAAATCAGGTATTGCTCATTTTCCTGCTATTTCCACTTCTGATATATGGATTATAAACTTTAAAGTTAACAAACACAAGACAAACTCTTTTAAAAACTTCCTAACTTATTTTTTTTGTACTAAAAGGAAAAATGTATGTATAGCAGATGGGTCATACACTCTTGTATCTAGAATAAGTTCCATTAATTGTACCATGACTATTATATTGTTTTCAGTTTTGCAAGTGCTTAGTTTTCCAGACAATTTTTTATCTATTAACGTCATCACTATATATCTTAATTGCAAAATTGAATTTTTTTCTGATTATTACATCTTTCGAAATCTTCAAACAGAGAAAACGATTAGCATTGATATATCACATGATGGCTTATATGTCTTGAATAAAAATCATAGCATAATTAGGAGTCAAGCCACCATTGAGAATGTGGAAATCAATTTAGAAATACTACAACGGAATCGGCAGTTGGGACATCCTTCTTTTTTTGTTTTAAAAAAATTATATTTTACTTTATTTAAAAGAACTTCTATGGATTATTTATTTTGTAATGCATATGAACTTACTAAATATAAAAAGAGTTCTTATCATTTGAATAATAATAGAAGTTCTACTCCTTTTACAACTATTCACTCTTATGTGTGGGGAGCTATTCAGAATACCTTTTTATCTACCTATAGATGGTTTGTTACTTTTATTGACTGTTGTACTAAATTAACATGGATTTATATGTTGAAAGCAAAAAGTAATGTGTTTTCATACTTTTAAACATTTCATTAAATGATACGTACACAGTTCAATTTTAAAATTAAGGTTCTAATAACTGATAATGGTACAAAATATATAGATGGCAAGTTCCGTGCCTACTTGAAGTCTAATGGGATAATTTATAAAAAGAGTTGTACTTACACTAGTAAACAAAATAGTATTACTGAAAAGAAGAATAGGCACATATTGGAGGTAGCTCGGTCACTAATGTTCACCATGAATCTACTGAAAAATTATTCGTGAGATACAATTCTCTCAGCTGCTTATCTTATCATCAGAATGTCTTTACGAATGCTCGATTTTAGAAGTCCTTTGAATGTTTTATAAGGAAAAAATTTTGATATTGTTCCCTCAAAAGTGTTTGAATTTATTTATTTTTCCGTACTAAAAATGTGAGTAAACTGGGACCTAGGGCTCTCAAGTGTGTATTTATTGGATATTCTTACTCAAAAAAGCAACAAATATTATCATCCACCATCTAAAAAATATTTTGTGACTATGAATGTTAACTTTAGAGAATTTGAATTTTATTTCAGTTCAAACTCAACACTTCTTTAAGGGGAGAGTGAGAAGGAAAGGTTATACTCATCTTAGTAACTTTTGATAGTCATATTTAGGGGGAGAGTGTTATTTAGGAAGATGTTATTTAAGGAGAAAATCGAACTTGAAAAAGTATTTAATGAGAAATAAGATAGAAAAATCTATCATGCAGTCTGTTTTATATCAAGAATCTTGTTCAATTTCTAAAGATACTAGTGAGTTATTTTTACGTTATGATTTATTTAATAAACTCATTACTTTTAGAAAAGAAATTAGGACATGCACTAAGCATGGTGAGTAATACCGGTGGGTTATCTTTATGAGTGATTTTATAACCCATTGCTCTATCTCCTTCCTATAGAGTTTTTGTTTTATTTGTTTCCTCTATGTCTATTCTGCATAATTGGAGAAAAGCTTTCGGAGATCCTAAATGGAAGAAAAGCAATGATTGAACAAATGAAAATTTTGAAAAAAATTAAACATGAGAACTTATTTCACTTCTATAGGGAAAGAAGATCATTGGTTGCAAATGGGTACTTACAGTGAAATGCAAAATTGACAGGTCGATTGAAAGGTACAAAGTCAGACTGATGGCAAAAAGTTTACTCAAACCTATGAAGCTGACTATTAGAAGATATTTACACCTATCGCGATGATAAACACAATCAGAATATTACTGTCTTGTGCAGCTAAACCTGATTGGAACTTACAACAGTTTGATATCAAAAATATCTTCATGGAGATTTAGAGAAAGAGGTATACATAAAAATTCTCCCTTGATTTGAAGATGAAAGAAAGTAAGGGAATGTTTACAAATTAAAGAATGTCGTATACGAGTTGAAGCAGTCTCTAATAACATGTTTTGAAAGGTTTAAGAATGTATAATCTTTTTT